ATAATTAATTGAAAATGAAAAATTCTTTATAGATTCTTTTACTCTACTTCGCTATTCACTTCAATCATTAGTAGTCGAATTCTCTTTGATTTATTATCAATATTTATAAGGTATTCATGAGAAAATGAAATTCAACGAATTCCATTTCTTCATTTCAACAAATGAATAGATCAACGCGCGCATACATCTTGTTTATTTTGAAAGCATAATAAGTCGGCAAGTTTCTGTAAGATTTTACTTCTTCGGAAAAAATACATGACAATTTCGTACTTTGTTCGGTGATGAACCAGAAAATTCACTGAACGTTTCCGATTTCTTCTCTTCCATTCCTACAAAAATTGCCGGAAACCGATTCCCCATTGCGGATTACGTGAATTGTTCCGNTTCTATAGATGGCACATAGATGGAGTGGAAAATTCTGTAGAGAGTGAGTACCACAGAAAATGTTATGAAAAAGGTTTATAGAAAAACCTATAGCAAATGTGCCTATATAAATTTCTATAGAGGGTATAGAAAAAATCTATAGATGGCATATAGATGGAGTGGAAAATTCTGTAGAGAGTGAGTCCCACAGAAAATGTTATGAAAAAGGTTTATAAAAAAATCTATAACAAATGTCCCTATAGAAAGTTCTATAGAGGGTATAGAAAAATTCTATAGATGGCATATAGATGGAGTGGAAAATTCTGTAGAGAGTGAGTACCACAGAAAATGTTATGAAAAAGGTTTGTAGAAAAATCTATAGCAAATGTCCCTATAGAAAGTTCTGTAGAGGGTATAGAACAATTCTATAGATGGCATATAGATGGAGTGGAAAATNTAGCACGGAATTTTCATGGAAAAAAATTCATGCAAGTTTTCCATTTTTGCAGTAAAAAAAATCGAAAATGCAAATTTTACCGGCACCGGAAATATGGGTTGACCGTATTTATTAATTTCTCGTTTCGGTGGTTTCTGAACTGGCTCACGAGGGTGATTTGGTTTTGCGAGTTCTGTCATCCGCCCTGGGACGGGGCCCTTCAACGCTGATTTCTTCACGTCGAAGGGATTCTTCCGAGTGATTGTGTCCTTGTGAATGTGGGCCTGCGCAAGTTCTGCCATTCGAGGGGACACTAGCATGATTCAAACATTTTATTACCATTCTGTTCACCTCAATTTTATTTTCAATTTGATTAGGGGAGCGAGATTGGAATTATTATAATTGGAAGCGATATTGGGGGCAGCGAGATTGGGATTATTGCACTGAGAGAAAAATATGATTCTTCTGACTATATTCCATCACCATNTTATGAAAAAGGTTTATAAAAAAATCTACAGCAAATGTCCCTGTAGAAAGTTCTATAGAGGGTATAGAAAAATTCTATAGATGGAGTGGAAAATTCTGTAGAGAGTGTGAGTCCCACAGAAAATGCTATGAAAAAGGTTTACAGAAAAATCTATAGCAAATGTCCCTATAGAAAGTTCTATAGAGGGTATAGAACAATTCTATAGATGGCATATAGATGGAGTGGAAAATTCTGTAGAGAGTGTGAGTCCCAGAGAAAATTCTATGAAAAAGGTTTATAAAAAAATCTATAGCAAATGTCCCTATAGAAAGTTCTATAGAGGGTATAGAACAATTCTATAGATGGCATATAGATGGAGTGGAAAATTCTGTAGAGAGTGAGTCCCACAGAAAATGTTATGAAAAGGGTTGATAGAAAAATCTATAGGAAATGTCCTTATAGAAAGTTCTATAGAGGATATAGAAAAATTCTATAAATGACATATAGGCGGAGTGGAAGATTCTATAGGGAAGTTGAGACCAACAGAAAATGGTATAAGAAAATTATATAGAAAACTCCATAGAAAAGATCTTTAAAGAAAATTCCATAGAGGATATAGAAAAATTCAATACATGGCATATAGATGGAGTAGAAAATTCTACAGACAGGGTGAACACCACAGAAAATGTAATGAAAAAGCTTTATAGAAAAATCTATAGAAAATGGTCCAATAGAAAATTCTATAGAGAGAAGTCTCACAGAAAATGTGATGAGAAAAGTTATATAGAAAAGGTTTTTTTAAAAAATCTATAGACACAGAAAAATTCTATAGAAAAGTTTGTAGGCCATATAAAAAACCTATAGGTGGTATACAGGTGGAGTGGGAAATTCTCTATAGAATCTATACGGGGACACCCACAGAAAATGTTATGAGAAGATTCTATAGAAAAGTCCATAAAAATCCTATAGAAAATTCTATAGACGACACTTCTGTAGGCATCATTATGACGCCTATGGGTAGAATAAAACAACCGTATAGAGGATGATTCCTACAAAAAATGTTATGAGAAAGGCTATAAGAAATGTGTCTATAGAACATTCTATAGATGACATGAAAAAACTCTACGAGAAAGTTTTCGAAAATAAATCTAAAAAATATTGCTGTGGACAATTCTATAGGAGGCACCCCCATAGGCCTCACTAGAACCTACTAATATATTTTGATTATTACCCACCTCCAAATTTGATATTCTTTGGCATGTAGAGTAGTGCAATATCATTGAAAATCCCCTGGCCAGTCTGTATGTATCGTGGATGCCGCACTACTTTTGTCGTTATCATTGCGATCCCTTGGCCTAGGTACTGCTCACCCTTTATTTTACTCTTGTCGATCTCTCCGAGAACTACGAGGAACCTTTTTGGACTGGAAAGTATACAATGACCAGCGGTGACTACCCATCTTGTTGATATTACACTTCCACCACAGCTTGCATATCCACCACTCGGCAATAACTGATGCACCACAGCCATCCATGGGAATTCACCAGATCTTGCATAATAACCGCCAACGATTGGTGAGAACTCTGAGAAACAGGATAATGATTTGCTTGAGATATTCTATCAAAAGCGTCACATTCCAAAAATTTTCGTGGAATTTTTCAATTTTTTGTTCAATAATTTGCGGCAAATTATGAATAAATCCAAGATTAAACCTTTCGACTCGATTTTCCTTGATACAAAGGAATGACTGAAAAATGACGACTTCCAAGTGCTCAGAGAAACCTAGCGAGTTCGCTAGCCAATTCTATTGGATTTCTATTAGATTTTCTATTGGTTTTTGGCCGATTCTATTGAAATTTTTAATAAAAAATATTGTATAGAAAATGTCAATAGAATTCGATTTTTCAGTACACGTTTTTTCATTCTATTTTCTTTTTTTTTTCACCAACACAAGACAATCAAACGAAAAGCTTAGAAAATTTGAGAAGATGAAATTCTATAGAAAATGTCTCAATAGAATAAGTTTTTTAGGAAATTTTTTCAACTTACCAGTCTTGCTGACACGTAATTCACTTGGAGGTACTGTTGAAGATGTCACGCAGACACTCAGATACAAGACAGAAATTCCCATTGTCGTGATTATACGGATTATTCTTCGAAGTTCCATGATGAAATTTCCGCCGACTTTTATTTTATGTGATGCTTGGTTTATTGAATTAAATCTCGTGTCAATATTTTGTTTGGTTGAAATGTTGAAAATGTTGGTAATTGATTAGAAAATTATTGAATTCCACTTGAATGGAAAATGACGATTATTCACTGGAGTATTTCACCGGGAGGAATGATTTTGAAAAGTTGGAAGGATCGAGCGTTCGATGCGTCTAGTTTGAGCGCTGGACGAGAAGTGACCGTTTGACTTTTATCGAGTCCTGCCAAACGTCCTTAGGGTTGGAGGCAGGTATATAACCCACCCCTTTGCAGGTAGCGTTGAACCCCCCTCCACAACTGATAGAATGTTACTATGCAGACTCATTGTTTTCATAAGTTAAACCCCGGAAATACTCGAAGGATACAATTTGCATGACTTTTATTGAAATTAAAGTAGTAGATAGGGGAGACTCGGGCAAAATACACTGAGAGAAAAATCTGAATTTCGATTTACAATAAGAAAATAGCTGAGGCATTTTGGTGAACGATGCGATTTTTTTTGTATGCGGCACATAACATTATAGTAACTTCACAAGCGTAATTTGTGCAAATCAAAATGCAGTTAAACTAACCAAAGTTCAAAAGTAACCACGACAAATCTATCGTGAGGAGAACTATAAAATAGTTGCAATGGCTACATTCCATCGTAGTAATTACTTCTCCGGCCATAGTTACCGTAATCCATGAAAAATTGTTGAGGACTTTTTGACTCGAATTCGATGGTGATGGAATATAGTCAGAAGAATTATATTTTTCTCTCAGTGTAGGACTTTCGTGATCTTCTCTAGTTGTTAATATCTTCAGTTATAAATGAAGATATTGACAATTGGAAAAGATCTCAATATGTCCCATTTTGCCCGAACCTCACACACGAAAAAATTTAATAGAAAAACCTATCGAATTCGTTAGAAAATTCTATTAAACTTTCTATCAGTTTTTGGCTGATTCTATTGACATGTTCAATAGAAAAAATTCAATAGAAAAAGTTAACAAAATTCGATTTTTCTATATAACTTATTCTTTTCATATATTCTTTATAGAATTTGCTCGACTCACATTTTCTAAGTTTTTTTCATTCTATTTTTCTTTTCTTCTCATCAAGAACATCAAACGAAAAAACTTAGAAAATTTGAGCCGAGGAAATTCTATAGAAAATATCTCAATAGAATAAGTTATGTAAAAAATTGAATTCTATTGACTTTTTCTACTGAATATTTTCTATTGAACATTTCAATAGAATCGACCAAAAACTAATAAAACAGTTCAATAGAATTTTTTAACGAATTCGATGGGTTTTTGTATTAAATTTTTTCGTCCGTGCTCCCCTACACTGTTAGAAATTTCTTGAAATTTCAATCACAATGTCATGTGAATTTTCATTGCGAAATGAATTTTCATTGCATCTTTAAAATTCCAACGGTAACACCCTCTTATACCTCTTTTCCGCACCGTCCACTGCCCATTATAAAACTATAAACCTTGACGCGACTGAGGTGGTTGCAGACAATGACTCATTTTACCTGAATGGCGTGTCGCCCTACCATCCGCATGCCCGCCCCCGTCTGGTCGGGAATGAAACAGATTTTGTGGATTATTTTCGATTGCGCAATTCCAAGTGAAAGTTATTAGATAATTCGCCCGACATTGTTGGGGATTTTATAATTGGCCGAATGCCTTAGGATTATAATTTAACCCCTGAAGTACGGCGCCCTTGTCACGTACGGACCCGAGAGAATGTCCAATCGACCGGCGTCCGTTAAATTGTATGTCATACGGACCCTTTCCGTGATTAATAAAAATTAATTATCTTTCATGCTATTGTAGACATCGCAATTCAAAAAATTTGCCCGTGAAATAGATAAAATTATCAACGCGACGAGAAAAACTCAATAAAAATTACCAGAAAAGAAACGTAAAAATGACGTTTCGAAACGTAATCGACGAACGAAATAAATTCAATAAAAAGTGTGGGTCGGAACTGAAATTGTATGAATCGTCACGTAAATTCTACGATTTGTTTTTCATAGAAAATTATGAAATTTTTACAGAAAATACTCTATACATTTACTTGTCGAATGGCGCAAACGAAATTTTGATTTCATGAATTACTGATTTGTTATCAACATTCTCATTAATTTTTTTTCTGATTTTTCAAGATGTTTTCTACATTTTAATCTTCTCTCTAACATCGAAATATTCATTTTCTCATAAGACTGAGTTATTTTTGCGCGTCTAAATTAATTATTATCAATAATTCTAGACTGTGCGAAAAAAGTGTTTTGCGGGTTTTGTTTGCTGTCTCTGAATGATTCGAGTAATTTTGTAACGAAGAGGTGATGACATTATTAAATCAGGCGCCAGAAATCCCAGAAATATTCGGTACTGGACCCCTCCGACAACTAAGTTCAAGGCAGTAATTCCAGAAAAAAATCGGTTATTGCCACAAATTTAATCTTTGGACACCTCTCTTTTGACATCTATTTGTCATTAACGTAAAGGATTTATTACTTTTTAATGTGATCTACTTTTCATTTATTAATTTATAAATTATCAAGTTCATTGATCTTCATTGATGATCTCGAGGAATTTCATTAGGATTATTTTGAAAAACACATTCTATTCACTAAGAATTTTTATCTGAGTTCTACTAACATTGTATTTGAAATTAAATTTTGCTGACAGCAGAAGTAAAAAATTACTTCTACCGATGTAATGAATAAAAAATATCAAAACAATGAACCATTTTTATAAGATAATCGTCTCTTTATTAATGACTGGTTGATCTCTCCAAAACATTTCATAAATTTCCGTTTTGTCTTAGTTATGTTAAATGTATGATTTGATGATCGATGTTGATGATCAAGGCAATGGCCTCAAGGGAAACAGTCTTTCCCACTCCTTCATTCTATCGATGTAAAGTCCATTCTTCACCTCGAGTTTATTATCAATGTCCAAATAAGCTTGATTCTCCGGCGTGAATTTCGTCCAACTAACATCTTTGAACAGAGGATTGTCTTTCGGTATTGGTTCACCAGTTTTAGCAAAGTTCGCCCATATGGCAGTCATCTTCTCCACCATCACATTCTCCGGTGCATCGTCCTCGAAGTATGGAAATACCTTGCTCTGGTAGAAGAGATACATCAAGTCGTCTTGATGTACAACACCTGAAAAATTGATAAAATCACGAGTGAATCATGTAATTCAAGAAAAATCATTGACTTCAGATGATTTTGTTATTGCTCTCACCGAATGGTTTACCGTCCGGCCATCTTGCAGTAGTGAAACGTCCCTGATAAGAGAATTTCCAGTACCACACTGGTGCTCTCGAATGTCCACCCATGAGATTTACAAAGCGATGATTAGCGAATCCAACGAGAGCATCTGCGTAAAGCTGAAGATGACAAAGAGTTCATTGGCATTGATTTATTAATTAGAACGGGATTTCGATTTTTATTTATGCTCACATCCGCCAATCCTTGCCAGCTATCAACACCAACGGGTTTTCCCTTGAGGTAGAACTTCCTGAGGCTCTCGGTGATGGCGAGGGATCTCTCTGTACCACGTTCGTAGAAAAAACTTATCGGAAAGATTCTCGTGTAATTGGCATTTATGTCATCGAATATCGCGTTGCTACCGTTATGCGCCTGTCCGATGGGAACTGGAATCATAATAATGTCGAAAAAAGTAGAATTGTTTCGTCATGTTTCATGATTCAATTGAACTCCTATTGGAAATTCTTTCAATTTTTGGCTGATTACATTGACAATTGTTTTCTGATTTACTGCTCTTTTTTCTCGTACAAAATATTCAATAGAATAAGTTGTACAGAAAAATCACATTCCAATGATTTTTTCTATAGAATATTTCGCATTGAACATTCAGATTGAGAAATAAGCGCAGCCAAGCAAGAGAATTTTTCAATAGAATCGCTCGAGAACTCATAGAAATTCAATAGAATTTTCTAGCGAATTCGTTTCATTTTTCTGTGAATTATCAATTTTTATTTTGCTGTTAACTCACTGGTAACAACACCACCAAATTCGTCCTTAGTGATGCCCGTCATCACAGGCACGTGATAGAGTTTTCCTTGTCTGATGAGATCGACTGGCTGATCAGAGAGGAATCTTTCCACTCCAGGCACCTCCGGCTCGATGACCGGTCTCCACTGCAAAACTGGATCTCCCTGCCACTCCTAAAGATCAATAACAATGAAAATAAATAATTGATGGTGCGAAAGATTCGGTGTAAGCACGAAAAAAAAACGGATGATGACACGTATGAAAAAATTTCACAGAACAATTTAACGCTTTTGAACAATTCTATTGGAGAATTCTATTTGTTTCTTGCGCCAGTTCTATTGAGAATTATGCGACTTTCCCATGTGTTTTTTATATAGATATTTGATTGTAGAAAGCGGCTATAGGTGTTGATTCTTCTATATAACTTATTCTATTAGAATTTTTTATGTGAAATATAAAATTCCTGGGCATGAATATTCCAAGTTTTTTTCTAAAATTTTATCCAAGAGTTTTCTAGAGAAAAATAAAGATCTATTGCCTTCTTTCTATGAAATATCCCTTTGAAAATATGACGCAATAATATTGCATAATCTTCTACAGAAAAAAATAGGATTTTTAAATATAATTCTAATAGAACTACAAGAAAATTCAGTAGTGAAGTCAGTTTTTAAGGAATATCTCCGAATCTAAGGGAAATTACAAAATTTTTGTAATGACCTTTTTTGTAGCTCTCAATTCACTCTACAAAAAATATTTCAACAAAAATTTTTCTATTTCCCTTGGATTTTGAGATATTCGTGGAAAACTGGCTAATAGATAAGATCTACATAAACCGATTGATCGTTTCGCTTCGGAATTATTAGAGTGTTCGAATAAAAATTCAATAGAATTTCTCACAGCAAACGCTACGTTTTTCTGTTCAAAATTTGCCCGCGCGGGTAAGTGCAGAATAAGTTCCTACAGCAAATTGAGGGAGTGAATTTCCGAATTCTTCGGCAGTTTTAGTCTTCAGACAAGCGAGTATCCTCTCGGTGGTGTCACTGGGGCATCCAAGGATTTCCGCTTGCCTCTTCGCCAGGTCCTTCTGGTGATGGGGCAATAGATTTTGGAATGTCGCAGCTCCACTCACACCGATTACCCGGTGAAACAAGCCCTTGCTCATTGGTGAGACAAGATGAACTGAATTACTCCATGAACCCGCACTGCATCCGGCTATTGTAACGGAATTCGGATCACCTCCGAATTTTGATATGTGCTTCTGGACCCAGCGGAGTGCCACCACTTGATCCTTCAGGCCGTTGTTGCCGGGTGCCAGGGCATCTCCAGTACTCAAAAATCCTGGAGGAATAATAATTTTTGTGGAAAGGGGAGAATTGGCAAAAATTAACAATTAAGGCCCGGGTGTACTATCTTTCGAATGTTACCTGGATTTTTTTTATCTTTCGTAATCCAAAATTGTAAATTGAGTGGTACATCATGTAGAAATTCCCAAAAAATATAATAGAATGATAACGAAAATAGAAAAAATTCTGAACTTTTTCAAAGAGCGTTTTTAATTGAGATTCAGAATGAGTTGAAAAAAGTGGAAATTACAAATATCTGAGTCGCTCTGGCAAATTATCTATTAGCTGTCATTTTCCATGGTGGATAACAAAACACTAACTCCTCATGGGAAGTGACAGCTAGGTATCTCAATTTTCAAAACAGTGGTATGTAGTCATCTGCCATTTTTATGTGATAAAAGTGTGATTAAAAAATTCTCCAAAATATTACAACTTTTTTCAAAGAGCCTTTTCCGTAATAAATGTCTCTGTGCAGTGTGGGAAAAGATTTACGAAATCAGTCTTCCCCCTGCATGATATTGGGTGACAGGCCGCCATTTGTCACCGTAAATCAGATACATTTTTCAATTTATTGTTATTCAATTTATTCTGAATATAAATTAAAAATGCTCTTTGGAAAAATTAAGGATTTTTTCTACTTTTTTAAAATTATTCATTTATAATTTTTCAAAGATTCTGCATGATGCAGGACTTAATTGACAATTTCAGATGACGAAAGATGAAAAAAAACATCGAGGTAACGTTCGAAAGATAGTACACCCGGGACTTAAATGGAAATTCAATAACTTTTGGGTCATTTTCAGTATCAATTCAAGAAGTCATTCTGGTTCCCCTTCACGGAGAGAAATTTTCTAGAAAAATTCTAGTACGAGTATTGGAAAAAATCACAATCCACCAGCTGTGAAAAATTCTAGTACTGTTAAGGTAAAAATTCAGGGGATTTCTGTGAAATTCTCAGAGAAATACGGGGAAAAATTCACGTTTTCCCCAATAAAGTTTCTAGTGCCAGCACTGGAATTTTTTCCTGGCCGTCACTTTGCGCCTCTTTTCCCGTACTAGCACTAGAATTTTTCTAAAAAATATCTCTCCGTGTTCTTTTGAGTCAACTTCATCTCCCAATCACAGTCATTGGAAGGTGATCTTACCTAAAGACCCTAGGCGATAATTGACAGTCACTAAGACGATATCTTGGTCCATGATATAATGAGGACCAGCATAGTAAGTCTGTCCGGACCAACTGTAGAAGCCGCCGGGATGAAAGAAGACAATAACCGGTCTCTTCACTGCTTCATCTTTCGATGGGAACTGAAATATATATTTTTTTATTTTCTACTAAATCAAGTTTCAAAAGAGGGTTCGACAGCTGTACTGATTTATTCATTTTCCAATGTTCTGTTGGGATTTCAGTCGATATCGCTTGTCTCATCCGTTTATTTCTTTTACGTAATTTAGGAACAATAAAAATTATCAGCAACGATAAACAAGTCTCTCACTAAGTTGGAATGTTCGGACTGTCAATGGAAAAAAATCCTTGTACTGGTAATTTAAGACAGCCTTGCTTTTCAAAAGATGAGGTAAGATAACTGATACCCATCACGACTGCCGATGCAACGCTGATTGATTAATTCACTGTATTGATTTATTGATCCACTGCAATTAATCCAAATATGTAGAGTACAAACCCGTGTACATGGGGGTCGCGTATGCACACCAGACATTAATTACCTTCGTTGTGTAGACGTTGAGACGCAAACAATCCTCAGATTGCAAGTCTAAATTTGGCTGCGGACATCCTGGACCTTCTTTCGACGCATCGAATGTCCGGTTCCAAGGTTTCACTGAAACCGGTGGCTGAAATCCAATAACATGGGATATTCAGGAAAAATAATGTCGAGATCATATTTGTTTTCTCCAGTTATTCATCGTAGAATGACATTGTAAGGTAGTCTGATCTGTCGCAAGACAAATAACTCGTCTCATCTCTTTTGCGTTCAGTGATATGAACTCCAGGGATCGAGTTGTCGATAAATATCTCTGAGCCTCAGGGAGATGAGAAAATTTTCGTGAAGATCCCGAGGAAAATTATTTCATCTCCCTCAGACTCAGAGATATTCTCTGAAAACTGATCTGAATCGACCTATTCGGTTTAGTCACTTCATTAATTAATTGTTCTCGTGACAAATCTGGAGATAACACTCACTTTGAATCGTAATTCACCGGTCGGCGGCTCGGCAAATCGCACCCCACGAAATGAATATATTTTCTTCTTCAACCTCGAGTTGATGATTGAACCCTTGATCTTACCCAGCGACAATTCCACCTCAACTATCTCGTCTGTATCTCCTCTGCTAGCGTAAGCAACACTGACAGAGACGAAACAAAGAAGCAGGAAAATCCACTTCATATTGGCAAATCGAGACAACTATATCATGCGAAATGTCACAAATGAAGTTACTTGCGACACTGGAATGGAATATCCGATCGTTCGGCTTTTATACGCCATCGTGGTGTGATATAGGTGATGAGCGATGAGGAAAAAGTGGCACAAAATGAGGAAAAGAGAGACGGAGTCGACTGAATTCGTAGAACTTTATTAGCTTAACTGTGAGGTATGAATGTTTAATTTTTTTTGCGTTTACTTGTCTTCAAAGTCAATAAACTATTCAAGTGGTATTCAAATTTTCCATCTCGTTGAAAAACCGAGAATAATTCGAGGATTCAAGCTTTTGGGGGCACAAGGCGAATGAAAGAAAGTCACATTTAATGGGTAAAATGCATTTGAGAATCAGATTCTCACGACGTTTTTTTGCTACAAATGTTATCAAATAGACCCTCTCATTATTGATAATTCCTTCTTTTATTGGTTCATGAGTAATTAATCTCTTCAACGAGCTGACGATAAAAACTAAAGTGCTGACCACGTGTTGATTCGTTTCTAATCATGTTGTATGGATTATTTAATGATAACTAGTTCAAGACAATGACCTCAAGGGAAACAATTCTTTCCACACATTCATCCTATCGATGTAAAGCCCATTCTTCACCTCGAGTTTATTATCAATGTCCAAATACGCCTGATTCTCAGGCGTGAATTTCGTCCAACTAACATCTTTGAACAGAGGATTGTCTTTTGGCATTGGTTCACCAGTTTTAGCAAAGTTCGCCCATATGGCAGTCATCTTCTCCACCATCACATTCTCCGGTGCATCGTCCTCGAAGTATGGAAATACCTTGCTCTGGTAGAAGAGATACATCAAGTCGTCTTGATGTACAACACCTGAAAAATTGATAAAATCACGAGTGAATCATGTAATTCAAGAAAAATCATTGACTTCAGATGATTTTGTTATTGCTATCACCGAATGGTTTACCGTCCGGCCACCTTGCAGTAGTGAAACGTCCCTGATAAGAGAATTTCCAGTGCCACACTGGTGCTCTCGAATGTCCACCCATGAGATTGACAAAGCGATGATTAGCGAATCCAACTAGAGCATCTGCGTAAAGCTGAAGGTGACAAAGAGTTCATTGACATTGATTTATTAATTAGAACAGGATTTCGATTTTTATTGACGCTCACATCCGCCAATCCTTGTCAGTTATCAACGCCAACGGGTTTTCCCCGGACGTAGAACTCTCTGAGACGCTCGGGGGAACGAGGGATCTCTCTGTCCCACGTTTGTAGAAGAAACTTATTGGAAGGAGAGTCGTGTAATTGGCATTTATGTCGTCGAATATTGCGGTACTGGCGTTTTGCGACTGTCCGAGGGGAACTGGAATCGTAGTAGCGGCTCACGCACGAAGAAATTTTGTGGGAAAGAGGAACTGATGAGTTACGCAGCTTTACTGCACTTTTTTTTAGAAAAAATATAATTCTTTCATATTAAACTTTCTCTCTTATGTGCATGGGGGTCGCGTATGCACACCAGGCATTAATTACCTTCGTTGTGTAGACGCTGAGACGCAAACAATCTTCAGATTGTAAGTCGAAATTTAGCTGCGGACATCGTGGACCTTCTTTCGATGCATCGAATGTTCGGTTCCAAGGTTTCCCTGAAACCAGTGGCTGAAATCCAATAACATAGGATATTCAGGAAAAATAATGTCGAGATCATGTTTGTTTTCTCCACTGATGCATCGTAGAATGACATTGTAAGGTAGTCTGATCTGTCGCAAGACAAATAACTCGCCTCATCTCTTTTACGTTCAGTGATATCAATTCCAGGGATTGAGTTGTCGATAAATATCTCTGAGCCTCAGGGAGATGAGAAAATTTTCGTGAAGATTCCGAGGAAAATTCTTTCATCTCCCTCAGACTCAGAGATATTCTCTGAAAACTGATCTGAATCGACCTATTCGGTTTAGTCACTTCATTAATTAATTGTTCTCGTGACAAATCTGGAGATGAATATATTTTCTTCTTCAACCTCGAGTTGATGATCGAACCCTTGATCTTACCCAGCGACAATTCCACCTCATCTTTCTCGTCTTTATCTCCTCTGCTAGCGTAAACAACGCTGACAGAGACGAAACAAAGAAGCAGGAAAATCCCCTTCATATTGACAAATCGAGACAACTATACCATACGGAATATCACAGATGACGCGGTTTGCGAGACTCGAACGGAATCACCAAGTGATCGGCTTTGCATCTCATCAGCGTGTGATATGGGTAATGGGTGATGAGGAAAATGTGAAACGAAATGAGCATAAGAGAGTGGTCGGAAAAATTCTTAATACATTTTACTGGTCCAACTCTGTTGCACAGATTAATCATACATTTCTTTACTTACTTCACTCAAAAGTAAACGGAAGATACAAGTGGATAGATTTCAATTCTGCCCAATAAACTGTGAATAATTCGGAAATTTATTTAATTAAAACCATGAGGGGAATGAAAAAAAGTGATATTTTTTAGCGCAAAATTACAAAATGGAGATTTCAATCACGAATTGCTAGAAATAAAAAATTCGTAACTAAATTAATAAATATTCCCCAGAAACAATAACGAAAGAGAAATTAATTTTCTTATGTTAACTCTTGTATTCAAGATTGGTTTTCAGAATTTTCGGAGTCTTTGATTTCTTCTTTCTTATTTTTCATAGCATTTCTAGCGTTCAATTGCCGCTCAGCCCCTTCCGGGTCGAAGTAAGGATCAATGGTAGGTTTGAAGACAATCGGATCAGGCTTTTCTTCAGTCTTTTCAGCATTCTCGACTTCTTTCGGAGTTTCTTCATCGGCAGGTTTACAATCTTTTTCTTTATACGGTGGCACAGGTGGTAGTTTCTTTCCATATGGCTGCGAAAAATGGTGAAAACAAACAATTTCGATATGACAAGACCAAAATTAGAAGTTCATTCATAAAAATCTTGACGAATAGAATAGAGAACTTGCATGTAGCTTAGTTTTCCCTAATTTCCCTATTCACAAGAGCCTTGTTTTTTCCCACACACGGAGAGAAAAATTTAATAAAAATTACTAGGAAAAAACGTGAAAATTACGTTTCGAAACGTAATCTGCGAGCGAAGGAAAATTCAATAGAAAGTGTGAGTCGGAACTGAAATTGTACGAATCGCCACGTAAATTCTACGATTTGTTCCGTAAAAATTTGAAAATTTTCCGTAACAACCCGTCTGATGACTCACCGCCGTGGGGACAACAAGTCGTTCCGTCATTTTTCTCCAACGATTGAGAAATTTTACGGAACGGAACGTAGAAATAACTCACCACCATCATAAAAATTGTTGAACGTTCAAGAATTTTCCTATTTACTAAAGATGAACGAAACGTGAAGTTGTTTTATATTGAAATATCTCGAAACTGCCTGACCGCTAATCCTTAATTCTGATTGGTCAATATGTGACACAAAGTTATTCAGAAAAAAAAACACGCGGCATTTTCAAATTCTTCAGTGACATAATTTCAAATTTCAAAAATTTACCTCTGAAGAATTTGAAATTATGTCACTGAAGAATTTGAAAATGTATATATATATATATATATATATATATATATATTTCACATGTATATATATTATCGGTGAAATTAATAAATTCTGTCCTTTTATGGAGACCGATTATTTAAAAAAATTGAAGATAATTAATTGAAAATGAAAAATTCTTTATAGATTCTTTTACTCTACTTCGCTATTCACTTCAATCATTAGTAGTCGAATTCTCTTTGATTTATTATCAATATTTATAAGGTATTCATGAGAAAATGAAATTCAA